AGATATTTGTAGATTGTATTTCTACTTGTACTCTTCTTTTCTTTTTCTCTGATTAATTTTAGCTATTTTTAGATTGACTCTTCTTTTCGTTTTCTCCGATTAATTTCAGCTATTTTTAGATTATATTTCTACTTGGACTCTTCTTTTCTTTTTCTCCAATTAATGTGGCAATTTCTAGCCCCCACAGCGAATGTGATGCCTTCTTTCAAGGCTATCTATTATCTTATTAAAGAAATAGAAAAAGAAGCCACCACGTTTGCTCTCACGGCCTAGAAGTTCACACATTAATCGGAGAAAAAGAAAAAGTAGAGTCCATATAGGAATACAATATAAAAATAGCTGAAATTCGGAATTAAAAAAAAGAATATTGAAAGAGTAGACTAGAGAGTCCATACAAGTGTACAATTTAGAATTAATTAAAATTCAGAATTAAAAAAATAGGAGTTAATTAAAAGTAGAAGTTAGAGTCCATATAGAAATACAATTTAGAATTAACTAAAAATCAAATTTTAGAAAAAAGATTGGGAGAAGAGTCTAAAGTCCATATATGAATACAATCTATAGATAACTAAAATTCAAAAAAAAAGAAATATTAAAAAAAGAGTTTAGAGTCTATATAGGAATATAATTTATAAATAACTTAAATTAAAAAAACAAAATATTTAAAAATGAATTTAGAGTCCATATATAAATACAATTAGAAATAATAGATTGGGAATTAGAAAAGTAGAAATATTGGAAGAGTAGTCTACGGTACACACAGAGGAATTTAAAACTAACTAAAAGTTAGAACTAAAAAATATAAGAAAAGTAGAGTTTAGAGTCCATATAAAAATACAATTTAGAATTAAAAAAATCAAAATTTAAAATAAACAAGATTGGGAGAAAGTCTAGCGTTCATATAGGAATATAATTTATAAATAACTAAAATTTGAAATTAACAAATAAGAAATGTTGGAAAAAAATGTCTAGCGTCCATATAGGAGTACCATTTAGAAATAACTGAAATTAAAAAATATTGAAAAAAGAAGTCTATAGTCAATATAGGAATACAATTTACCATAATAGAAATTTAGAATTAAAAAATAAGAAATATTGAAAGAAGAGTTTAGAGTCCATATAGAAATACGGTTTATAAATAACTAAAATTCAGAGTTAAGAAAAATGAATATTTGAAGAGTAGTCTATAATCCATATAGGAATAAAATTTATGAATAAAGGAAATTAGAAATTTAAAAAATAAGGAATATTAAAAGATGATTCTTGAGTCCATATAGAAATATAATTTATAAATAACTATTCACGTATAGTGGCGGAGCAAAATTTCCACGCCTAGGGCTGAGCTAATGGAATCTCAAATATTTTCATAAATTACATAGCATTTTTCAAGATTATAATGGGGATTATGGAGCTAGGCATTGGGCTCAAGCCCTAGCTGCCCCATGGCCGATTCCGCCCCTGATCACGTATACAATACAATAAAAATATCACACATTTGTTAGTTCAACCAAGAATTTAAAATTATGTTCTCATTGTAATATATGTTAATAATAATATGAGAAAATATTTAAGCTATTATATGAGAAAAACTAACGATGCTAGCCGCGCAATCTGCGCGGGCCAACATGCTAGTTTTAATAATATAACTAGCTGGGTGGCCCGCGCAATTGCGCGGCTAGCACCTGTACAAAAATATTTTTTTTCTTAATTTTCTTTAATTTTTTTAAATAGTCATCACGTTGTCTTAGGATTTTATAAAAATGAACCTTATTATCATTGGGTTTCCAATTATAAATTTTATAACTTTGAGAAGTCACATTCACATGAGTCGTCACCCCTTAAACTATGCCACTTTATTTGTTGAGAAATTTCCTAGTCCTAGAGAGGTACCAAAATTTTTAGTATAAATTTTGTACCTTTTAGCATTGAAGGTATCAAGAGGTACCATATTTCACATTAGAAAATATGGTACCTCCCGATATCTCCTCAAGGATAGTAAAGTCACTCTTATTTGTTTGCCCGGTCTGCCACAGTTTCTATTCATCCTTTTTGGACCTTTAAAAATCATATCTCTTATTTTTTTTTAGAGTTTATTGTCTCATTGGGTTTTGTTTTTATTGGAGTCCCATCAAACGCCACCACTTTACTCCTTTGCAGCTCACTTGCTGCACTCCCTTTATTATCGTTGGGATTTTAAAAACTGAACATGATTATTGTTGTGTTTCTTTTTACTTTCTAGAAGTCTCATCAACTGCCAAGGCCCTAGTTCCTCACGGCCTGCCGACGCCCCCTCCTCTTTATTATCATTGGGATTTTAAAAATTCAAACCTAATTGTCATTAGAGTTTCATTCTATAGTTTTTAGATGCCCTATCAACCACTACCACCATTCTCCTTTACCGCTCGTCATCGCTCCTTTCTTTATTATTATTTGTCATCGTTGTGTTCTAAATTGATTGCTCTTCTAATATTCTTTTTTTAGTACCGAACTTTTGTTATTTCTAAATTTTATTCTTGCTTGATCTCTATTTCCCCTCCTCCCTAATTTTGGACTGTTTTTTTTAGTTTTTATGTTGAATTTTAATTAATCTCATACTGTGTCTACATGGACTGTTCTTTGAAAAAAAATTATTCTCAATTTTAGATATTTATATCTTATATTCCTACATACTCTCATTTTGGTATTCTATAATTTCAGAATTTATTTTTTTTTATATTAATTAATCTCGTATTATGTTCTAGATGGTATATTGTTTCACTGTTCTTTTTTTTCTGTATGAATTTCAGTTATCTAAATTGTATTTCTACTGATTTAAAAAATTATTTTATTTTTCATTTTGATTTTTAATTACTCTTGTATTGTGTCTATATGGACTGTTCTTTGAATATTCTTTATTTTTTTATTATGAATTTAGTTATCTTTAAATTTTATCCATATTAACTTCGGAATTTATTTTACTTTTTTCCCAAATTTCAATGAATCTTGTATTGTGTTCTACATAGACATTCTTTTACTATTTCTTTTTTTTATTTCTTAGTTTTTGATAGTTGTTTTAATGATATAATAGATAGACTAATATAGATAGCTAGATATATAGATAGATAGATAGATTTTTCTCCGAATATAGTTAATCTTGTGTTGTATTTTAGATGGACAGTTCTCTCAATGTCCTTCAGTTTTTAATCTGATTTTTGTTAGTCTTTATTTTGAGTAGGATTTGGACTGTTTTCAATATATTTGAAAAGGAAAATCTTGCAGAAATTTGATTGTATGGACAATAGTATATTGGCAATTTGCTGCTGCTACCGAACTGCTCTACATATCCGTGCTCGTTGACACGGACAAAACAGAGATCAATTGCGTGCTTACGACTCGCTCGCCCCGCATCATTTGTCATTAGGTAATCGCAAATCAACTCTCGTTTGGTTTTGCACAAATATGGTATATACCACCTTTTTGCCCGCTAAAAGTTGCATAGATATGTGTCTTTAATTAGTTCATTATTTACAAATTATATATAGAGACTCTTTTTTTTTTTACTGAAGGAGGCTTGAACTCTGCCTCTAGCTATTCAAATTGTGTTGAATCCGAACATATGAAAAGGATATCACGACTCCTTTAAACATGACTTTGTATCGTGGGTCTAAAATTTTAAATTAAATCAATATCAACCGTTAAAATCTATATTTAACATGCCAAAAATTTGTCATTTGAAGTAAGTCATCAGTAAAAAATATACAGATAGTCATATTCTAGCTCAGTTTTCCATCTAAATTTTTAACCACAAAATCGATGCAAATGCAAGAAAATTTAGAAACTGATTGTCGTTGTTATGTGCTTAACCCCCAAAAAAAAAGTCATTCTGAATTGGTAGTATGTAACTTGCCACGGTTATTTATTTGCTGTGCTTGGATTGGAGTTGTCTCTGTGAGTTTTTGGCTGCTGGCTTGCCGCCCTCTTTGCGGCACCGTGGCACCGGGCGGAGTGGCTCCGTATAGGATGGAGTGATACCTGCCCAAGCCTTAACATGTACTAGTACTTCCTAATTTCCTATAAAATTTACTCTAGGACTCCGTTTACTAATCAACTAATCTTATTCACGGTGAAATTTCCGCTTATTATTGCTATGTTCTTTTCCTTTTTTACATTAGAATTGTATTGCTCTTACAACTCTAACATCTTTTTATATTCGATTAATCTCCACCGTTATAATCTAGATCTACCACGATCTAACGGTTAAAATATTTCTTTTTTTCTCTGATTAATGTGGGAACGTGATGTTTTCTTTTCAAGCTATCTTAATAATATAAATATAATAGATAGATAGATAGATAAATACCCAATGTGACACGTCAAATCTTTACACCCCTTAGCGCCAAACAAACACAACTACACAAGTACAACCGCGAACCCATGTCTCCGTCGCCGAGCATCTCTGCCGTTCCTCTCGTCATTTTTGTTATCGGGGCGGACGTGGCCCCCTCTTCCTCGCCTCCTCTCGCCTCATCGTCGTCGGGCGGCCATATCGCCATAGCAGTGCACCCCGCCCCAATGGACTTTGTTTGATGGATTTTTTTTACCAAATTTTCTCGGATTATATATCGGGCATCAATTTTGTATGGCTCAATGAATTGTGAGTCTGGAGAGTCAAATATCAAGCGGTGTCAATATGCTCAATATTAGATTCTCTTTGTTTTATATTTTGAATAGGAAATAATGGTTCGAACAAACTTTAAATTCGATATATAATTCAAAGGGTCTAAGCTGTTAAAGAAAAAGAAATCAACGATTACTGTCATGCAGTACGTTGTTTGGTTTGGTCATTCTTTGTGACGTCGAGATAAACCTTGGCAAACGCGTGGCCCACTGTCACTGACGTTGTTAATATTGAGGCTATCTCGATCACCAGCAGGAATGATCTAATTAACGAGTGACATGATCGAACAGAAACATCATTAAGCGCAATAAGAACGATGCTCATGCATGCTGAGGTTGGAACTGGTACAAGCGCAAGGGCCGCGATGATTCCCCCTAGCTAATACTAGTATTAATAAACGATAGTGATGGAGTGAAGAGAACTATATTGCTAGTTTACTACCAAGGACTAGGAGAAGATGGATGGCGTACAAGTAAATGTAGCAGAGGCGGAGCATATACGTACTAGTACATCATGTGACCAGCCTGGTAGAATTCAAGCAGAAGCTACTAGTACAGAATACAGATGATAAGCTATACTACAACTAGTACAGAATACAGATGGTAAATCCGTGCATCATGGGCTGCTGCTAGATGGAGCGATACAACAAGAACGAGGTACTGTAGGTCAGGTAGCAAGAGTAGCATCAGACTATCAGAGTAGCGCTGACGTGGAGAATCGGGCTGACGAGAGACGCCCAGACGACATTTCCAACCCATCTGGAAGTGAACACAAGACAAATAACCAATCCAAAGATTAGATTAGATTGGCAGCATTATTAATTGATTATGAAGTTACTAACAAGTGTTAATAAACAGGCCAGGCAGGCGCGAACTAATTAATCAATTAAGCTCAAAATTAAAGCAACAATCGATTGTGTACCTCTCCGCTGACGGGAGGAAGCAGAGCTGTTGTTTGAGCTGGGATCAGGCGACCTGCGTGCTTTGGCCGCTGGACTGAAGAAGATGTGGTAGAGGCAGTATCCGAGCAGACCGGCAGCGGCCAGAGAGCAGACGACGATGGCGATGATCACCCCAACTCCTAGCTGCTGCTTCTGCTTCTTCCTCCTCGTCTTATTCTTCTTGCCGCTGGGCAGTGGTGGCGGATGGTCGCCAGTGTCAACGCCGCATGGTTCTGAGATACAATAATAGTACACATACAGTTGCAGATCATTAGGAGTATTAATCAAACAGTTCGTAAATTAAGCAGCATGCAGGTGCAGCTAGAGACGGTAGTAGCTACTAATTAAGCTAGCTCACCATTACAGTCGTGGGGAGGAACACCTCGAATAAGCTGTTGCGTCCATTGTGCGACCGAAGCCGCGTAGCTGCCGCGGCAGGTGATGTAGGTAGTGGCAAGATCGAAGGAAGGCTGCCTGGCAAGCACGTAGACACAGAGGCAGCAGAGGCCTTTCTCTCGCTGGTTGACAGGCCAGATGTCGAGCGAGTAGAGCAGAGCGTCGCAGCAGGAGGGAGTCGGGGTCGTCGGGGTGGTCTCCTGACATGACAGCAACGCCAAGCTCGTGTACTCGAGCTTGCACTCCAGCTGCGACGACGATGCACCTATCCTCATGTGCAGGAGCACAAGGAGGAGCAGCCACGACGCAGCGGCTCTAGCCCTCGCCATCGCCATCGCCATCGCCCTCATGGTCAGAGTGATGGTGCCTCGCCTAGCTCACACTGATCACCACAGCTAAGCCGTTCCCTTTCCCTACCTTAGCTTTTATACTGTTCCCGGCACGTAGGAGTGTATATGTAGCAACTTGAACGCGACGGAGGACGTACGTATCTCTCAGTGCACAAGATAAATGCATGTGATCCATCGATCGGCAGGGCATGGCCGAGCTGTGCACCTAGCAAATTAAAGCAAAGTAAATACGACTGGAGTAGCTGTAATTTGCAAGAGGAGCATGTCTGCATGTGCCAGTCCGATCGACTCCGAGCGCAGATCATGATCTTGCGGAAAACGACCCGCACATCTCTATCTCTGTGTGTGTGCAAGAACTGCATGCAACAACGACCCGGGACACAAGGAAGACCAGCAGCTTAGCTACACATATGAAGAAATTTGACTCTGTCGATCGGGACAGCCGGAGGGAGACTGGCAGGCAGATCAGGGGTGCAGAGGCACCATTTAATCGATCGGCCATTCCTTCCGATATGCTGCTGCTGCTGCTGCACGTCTTGCTTCTTCATTCCCAGCGAGCGGAGGGCGGCAATATGATATGACCAGCACCATCTTCGATCGATTCTACGGGTACGTAAATGCAGATTTGATCGATGCACTACTTTCTAGTAGTAATGTTGCTCCAATTCTTGCTTAATCAACCCATTTCCTTTCCTACGTTTGACTGCCTGCCTGCCCCTGAGCAAGCAAGAAAGAAAGAAAGAAGGGATTAAATTTGCTCGCTCCTACGAATCCTGCCCCTGAGTAACAATGACTGACTTTTAATTTGTTTGCAGCTAGGGTGGGGATCGAGATGGTGATCTTGGAGCAGCCACAGCTGCTCCTTCTTCTTCTTCTTCTTGTAGCAGCTGCAGCTGCAACCGGCGCCACAGCAGCCGACGACGAGTTGGAGTGTCCCTCCTCCATCTTCGGTAAGTAGCAAAGCACAGTATGACATTCACGAATGCATGTCATGATCTATCACTCCCTTTGTCTTCGCTACATTACATACTCTGCCTGTGTTTACCTACTGTACCCGTCTTCAATTCAATTTGCTGTTGGCTCCCGCGCTTTCCCGAAGCCGCGTGTAGTAGTATCATAAAAGTAGGAGTAGATCTTTAATTTGCCCGGCGAAAACTGCTCCTAGTGGTAGATCTTTGGCTCGGATCGGAGAAGATATTGTAGCTGTACTCTGATCGAGAGCATGCATGCTTGTTAATCCGATCGAGCGTATTCCTCTGAGTTTGTTATGCTCTGATATTGTAATTGTGGCTGGATAATTTTCAAGAAAAAAAAATCGGTTACATACATGCATTTGCACTAATTAACTAGATTGTGCATCAACAGATCACGCTGTGAACTCTCAAGGCGCCATTCAGTTCCCCGTGTTCCACAAGAAGCACCAATGCCTCCGCCCATGGTCTGTCCGTGCAACCCAGGCATCCTCGACCGGAGCATCAGGAGCAGGAAAAGGAGGAGGATTGAACAATCTACAGGAAGAGGAGATCACTTCATCAAGTAGTACAAAAATCGACGTGATCGAAGACAGCAGCATCAACGACTTCCTGTTCCTAATGGCCGTCAGTCTGGGCAAGCCACCGGTTGTGAACCTGGTGGCGATCGACACGGGATCCACCCTCTCGTGGGTGCAATGCCAGCCGTGCGCGGTGCACTGCCACACGCAGTCCGCGAAGGCCGGCCCGATATTCGATCCCGGCAGATCCTACACATCCCGGCGAGTTCGCTGCTCGTCGGTCAAGTGCGGCGAGCTGAGGTACGATCTGCGGCTCCAGCAAGCCAATTGCATGGAGAAGGAAGACAGCTGCACGTACAGCGTCACGTACGGGAACGGGTGGGCGTACAGCGTGGGCAAGATGGTGACAGACACGCTGAGGATTGGGGACTCGTTTATGGATCTCATGTTCGGGTGCAGCATGGATGTCAAGTACAGCGAATTCGAGGCCGGCATCTTTGGTTTCGGCAGCAGCAGCTTCTCTTTCTTCGAGCAGCTGGCAGGGTACCCTGATATTCTGAGTTACAAGGCATTAAGCTACTGCTTGCCCACTGACGAGACCAAGCCCGGATACATGATCCTGGGAAGATACGACCGTGCCGCCATGGATGGGGGTTACACTCCTCTCTTCCGGTCAATCAACAGGCCAACCTACTCACTGACGATGGAGATGCTTATCGCCAACGGGCAGAGATTGGTGACATCGTCTTCGGAGATGATCGTCGATTCCGGGGCCCAGAGGACGTCCCTGTGGCCTTCCACTTTTGCTCTCCTTGACAAGACCATCACGCAGGCAATGTCGTCGATTGGGTATCACCGGACATCAAGAGCGCGCCAAGAATCATACATCTGCTACTTATCGGAGCACGACTATTCTGGTTGGAACGGCACCATCACGCCCTTCTCCAACTGGTCCGCCTTGCCTCTGCTGGAGATCGGCTTCGCCGGCGGTGCTGCACTCGCTTTGCCACCCAGAAACGTCTTCTACAACGATCCACACCGCGGTTTGTGCATGACCTTTGCTCAGAATCCTGCTCTCAGGTCTCAGATACTGGGGAACAGGGTTACTCGATCCTTCGGAACAACCTTCGACATCCAGGGGAAACAATTCGGCTTCAAATATGCCGTTTGCTGATCGTCGATTATTCCTCATCCTATGATATCTTATAGCTTGCGGGTACGTACCAAGTATATATCAAACTAATTGCATACATGCTCTCCCTCCCTCTGTCCATGCATGTCCTCGTTTCATTGCAAATCTGCATCGATCAATCCAGTTACTGATAATTCCTCCTTATTAACTTAGGCTGATCGATCCATTGCTTCTCGTGTGTATATTATGCAGGTCGATTAATTAGCTGGTTTGCCCAAATAACTGATCGGATTGGAGTCTTCTCCCGCGCTACACTACCCCTAGCTGCGATCGTATCACAAGCTAGCGGTACTTGATTTGGGACCTAATTCGTTCAAAAAAAACTTGGCAGCTTAATTTGGGACCTAGTAGCTAGCTGAGCCACTACTAGATGTTTACGTACCAGCTATCCGTCGTTTGTTTGTGTCTCCTGTGCTTGTGCTAAACCTATCTCTTGAACCGTTCGTGCCAACTTAATTATTTGGTCGTATGTCCTAATTGTTGATCATCTGCATGGTTCGTCAACCTGAAATATACTAGCATCTGTAAATACGTACAATGCGACCTTTTCATCTTCCTGGGCTCCTGACCTCAAGCCAAGAGGACCATATATGATGGCTCCTCAACTTCTGAAAACTGCAGCCATCTGTAAATGGCTTAATTAATCGGATGATCCATGCTACTAAAATTTCTTCAGTTTGAAAATATACCATTATATTTCACGAAATTTAAGCCGTGCCATTAGTTTTACATGTATTGAAGATATGCCACTACTTACTCTTTCAATGCATCTTCTCACTTTTTTTTTGGTGTGCTATATTTGTATGTCAGGATGGGGACGGTTAGGATACGATTGATCTTAAACCATTCATACTGAGTTCATGTGTCCATGGCATAGTAGAAAAAACCAGACCGGTCATTGACCCGGTGGAGTATTTGGTTCACCGGTCTATCGGTTCAACCGTCGGGTCACTGGTTGAACCGCAGTTTATTGACTAAGTATATTTTGTGTTGTCTTCTAGTCACAACAGCTAACTTAGCCTAGTGGTTAGCAAGGTTTGCATCTATCCTAACAGCGGGGCTTCCTAGTGCGAGCTTAGGCGCCAGATTAATAAGTAGCGCGCACGTGGCACGCCCACGTCCACGCCGTCCTAGCCGCTAATTACGGTAATTAGTGGTAATTAGAATTTTTTAATATATATACATATAGGGTAAGACTATTCTACACCCAGGGTATAGAATAGTTATTCTATACCCCTCCCTCCCTCCTGTCCTCCCCATCCCTCCTCCCGATCTCCCTCTCTTTCTTCCCGTCGCTCCCCCTCCCTCCTCCCATCTCCCCCTCCTCCCGATCTCCCTCTCTTTCTTTTTTCTACGCTCCCCCTCCCTCCTCCCATCTCCCCCTCCTCCCGATCTCCCTCTCTATCCCTCCTCCCGATCTCCCTCTCTTTCTTCCCGTCGCTCCCCCTCCCTCCTCCCATCTCCCCCTCCTCCCGATCTCCCTCTCTTTCTTTTTTCTACGCTCCCCCTCCCTCCTCCCATCTCCCCCTCCTCCCGATCTCCCTCTCTTTCTTTTTTCTGCTTCCCCTCCCCTCCCTCCTCCCATCTCCCGTCGCTCCTGATCTCTCTCTCTCTCTTTCTTTTTCTTTTCCGTTTTTTTTCTCCCTGAAATATTTTTTCTCTTTTCTAGAAAAATTAAAAATAAATTGCTAAATTCAGGACTTCAACCCATGACCTCGTAGTTCAAAGCACATTCTTCTAACCAATTCACCTAATGATGCTATTTGTTTCAAGAATTTTGTGAGAAAGTAATATGATTATCAATTCTAATATCTTTCACTACCGAAACTCATAACATGTTACTATGCTCCAGTAGTAACATTGTTGTAAAAGTACAGTAACACGTGACGTTACTGTAGAACATATAGGACGTTACTGCACTTTTGGCAGTAACGTCGTAGTAAAATTGTAGTAGACCAGGAATCGAAACAAAAATATATGGGTTAAAGCCTCACATGCTAGCCATATACTTGTTACTGCACAAAAATAGAAGTGTTACTACATAATAGGTGCATGTTACCACTTCCAATTAGTTATATTACTGCACGATAATCGTAGTTTTACTATGTCAGTTTTACGAGATGAAGATCGAATAGGTGGGCTATAGGTAAAGTCTGTAGGTGGCTTTGAGTGAGGTCTGATTGATGTACGAGTGTTTTGAACAATTTTATACATTTGATAAAACCATGTTACTGCATGTATATACCCATGTTACTGCAAATTACATATTTTGTTACTGCATATGGAGTGCTAAAGTTCAAAATGCCTATATTTGAAAAGCAATATCTCACAAGATATGTATTATTTTTAAAACCGTTTTCACATGTGGAGGATATATGAGTTAATGTCTCACATGCTAAATATATTTGTTACTACACAAAAGTGGAGTGTTACTGCAAAGGCAGGTACACGTTACCACATGTTTATGCAGTAACAATATCCAAAAAATACAGTAAAACACAATTACTGCAAAAACTTATAATTTTTACTGCACTCTTACAGTAACGATGTGATGGGATTATAGTAACGTGCAACTGACAGTAGTAACAAGTAATTCTATAGCATTACTACTTGTGGAGAGTCAAATTCTAAAAAAGCCAAGATTTGAAGAACAATATCTCTCACATGATGTACTATTTTTTAAAATCGTTTGCACTATGATGCTAGAAAAAAACGCTTATCAAAAGTAGATCCAGCATGACTATATTTTAACAATATTTGAGCGTTCTTACTACACATAAGACGTAGTGTTACTGCACGTTGACCGTCGCGTTACTGCACCGTTCCACGAGACAGAGCTGAGAAGAGGTGGGTGGTGGGAGGAGTTAGCAGATGGTTTGACCACAGTTTGACTGATGTGGGATGCTTTTGACTGACCTTTGACTGAGGTGGGAGGTGGGTTTGTGTCACGCCCAGAAATTCTCGAATAGAATTCCAAGCAGAATGTGCATTAAAATCCCCGTCCAGGACCGGCCGGGGTACACAAACGACAATGTTGACATTCAGATCCACGTCTTACAAACATCATAAAAGTCTTACATAAATGCAGCGGAAAGAAAGAAAGACAACAGGAGCTAAGCCTTGACTAGAACTGCAGCGGGAACACCACTCCACAGGCATCCTCGACGGCACGGACGAAGCCTACTCCTCGGAGAAACCTCCATCCGACACATACTCGTACTCTGGGGTTGGGAAAAATAGAGCAAGACTGAGTACTACCCACTGTACTCAGCAAATCATACCGGAATAGGGGCATGATGCAGGGAATTATCAAAGAAGAGCTAGAGTGGTTCGTTTGCATAAAGCGAGCATTTAAAAACAGAAGTTGAAATATTTAAACAGTTGTAATAATTAATTAATATTAACTATCCACTGTCCAACGCTATCCCACGTTGCAACAGGCCCAACCATCCACCTAAACTATCCAAATTCAAAAGATTACACTAGGGTGAGACTAATCACGGTGAATCTGGTTGACCGCCCATAACCGCGGGCACGGCTATTCGAATAGTTTTACTCTGATCAGAGGTGTACAACTGTACCCACAAGACACAGCCCCACGACATGTTTCCGTGCGCCGACATGCCACCACGACATACCGGAAAGAGGCCGTGACATGACCCTTTGCATAACCCCCTTTAACCAAGCACACCACACCTCAGGTTTCACCCCCACTCCTCGCAAGGCAGCGGGCAGTCCCCTCTCGTGCCTAGGTGAATCCGGAAGCGACAGAGGCCGTCGCAGGGCCCGCCCCGCTCCATCACGCCCACCCTTGCCTGGATGCGTTGACTAGAGGAAAGCTACACTACAAGCCCAGCAGTTGCCCACGCTGGCTTGTGGTAAGTACGATAAGTTCTTCCAGGGCATCCCGCGAACTGGTCCTTAACTGCCATGGGTGCGACCAGCAAAACCATGCACCCACAGCCCACCATGTGATTTATTTTAATTAACCAACACCAAAGCGGTGGCACTAAACCAACAATACCATTAGAACCAACAGTCTAAACATTAATAAGATCTTCCCCATTGTGCACTAGTTGAACTAAGCATGACTAAGCAATCCCTAGTCCAATCTCTAGTCATGTTATAACCCCAAGCTGACAAAGAGACATGGTACAACAATAGCATGGCTATGACAATAGGTAAACACCCCATAGAAACGTTATAAAACAATGCAATATTTGAAAGAAAACAATAGAGCATTTGCAATATAGGATCAACATGTTCAAGTGACAAGCATGACTTGCCTTGCTCTGCTGCTGGAGGAACCTCGGCGACTATTTCGAAGTACACCGGAGCGTCGGAGGAACCGGAATCTAGCGACATACAAGGCAAACATTGCAAACAGGCTATAAGACTACTGAAACAGGGAACAAAACCATTTTTAATGGATTCTGCACATTTTTCTTGATTTACTGAGACTTGAATGGGCTTAAACGGAGCTTGGATGAATTAGTTATGAATTTTAGAAGATTCACTGTGTTTATTACTATAAAAGAAAAACCTTAAATCATTTATTGCGCAATAAATCCCAGGGCTGACGTCAGCACGGGGGGGAGGAGGCGCGGCGCCGACATGCGGGGCCCACCGGTCAGCGGCTCAGGGGAGAGGGAGGAAAGGGCGCCGGCACGCGGGGCCCACCGGTCAGCGGCTCAGGGGGGGCGGTTCGCCGTGGACCGGGACCACGCGGGTGGTCCACCGCCGGTCCATGGGACCGACGGCCCAGATCGCCCTCGGGGCCGATCGGACGGGCGGTGGCGACCCGGCTCGGCTCAAGGCCGGCCAAGCGGCCACGGCAACGGCAACGGCGCGCGCACACGCGAACGCGTTGCCGACGACGGCAACCGGCGGCGGAGGCGACGGCGCAAAGGCGACGCGAAGGCGGCTGCACTAAGCAGCGGCTAGGAAGGAGAGGGAGGGGAATAGATGGGAGAGGAAACCTCACCGAGGGTGGCCGGCGCGGAGGAAGACGATGGCGAACGGCGACGGCAAGCCACGGGAGGACGACGGCAACCGGCGGACGAGCTTCGGGGTGCCCTAAGGAAGGAAGAGAGAGAGAGATTAGAGAGAGGGAGATGAACCACGGCGACCGGCATTCATGGCCGAAGGCGGCGGTAGAGGTTGAACTCACCGGAGTGCGAGGGGATGCGAATTCCGGCGACGAAACTCGACGGGGAAGGGGCGGCCGGGGTGGAGCTTAGCCTCGCGAACCCGACGGCGGCGACGGCGCGGTGCGGCGGCGACCCTAGCGGCGGCTAGCGGCGGCCGGAGTAACGGAAACGGCGGCGGCGGGTGGATGCACGGTGCGGGAGTGATGGAGAGCTCGGGAGAGTTCGGCGAAATGGGGAAAAAGAGAGAGGGGGTGGCGTCGGAGCTTAAATAGGGAGAGGGGGAGCCGGACGTGGCCGGGAGAGGCGAGATTTCGCCGGCCAACGTGGGGAGTGGGGGAGGAGAGAGAGGAGGGATTCGAAAATCGAATCCCGGCCAT